AAAATTGATCATTGCATTTAGGTATTGCATTAATATTTAAACATACCTTTTAAAAGTTCAATGATAATCCTTCTGCTGCCACTTAATTTAAAGACAGTTTGATGTATGTAGGTCCTTACTTTCTGTACAAACAATTATTTTTATTTCATGGGTGATTTTCGCTGGATTTCACAATTAATTTTGATTATTCTCAAATTTATTTCCAAGTTAAAAAATTTTTATAAAAAAAAAATTTGTCACAAAAATTCACGTAAAAAAAATCATTGAAAATAATTGGAGCATTGAAAACTTGGGAATCTAAAATTTCAGGATTGCAGGTTCAGATCCAGTCCAGAATGGTTTTAATTTGCTCACAAAGTTGGTCTGATTCCAAAATGTTTGGCTATGGAACCTAGGAATAAAGTTGAAAAAGCATGACACACTGGCATTCGCATTTATTAAATAAATGCAAAACAAAAAAATAAATTCATGTAATCATCAAACCATATACCGTATTTTCTGGCATCAAGGACTGTTTTTTTTTTTTTCCAAAATAGGTCTTGAAAATTTGCCATGCATTCTTGAGGATGAAGATTAGGGTTTTTGTAGGCTGATGCAAACCCCAGAGGAAGGTTATCTATGCCAGATAATAAACTGAATTACTGTATGTGATCTCTTAATTAAATTTATAAATTATACAGTAAATAAGTAATAAATAAACAAAGTATCATAAAAAGTAACAAATACATGTCTACGTACAGAATGTTCCCACGGTAGACTAGTGTAAGGGAGACAACAGACTAGTAGTATCATGGAAGTTAAACAGGGGTAGCATCACTCCATCTTGATGAATATCATAGTTGGCAACTGCCGAGCTAAGCCACACCCGCTTGTCATGATATGATGAACATTAGCAGGGTTTCTCTATTTTTATGTTTTTGATGGCACAGGTACACTAGTTTTTACAATAAAATGATTGTGCTTGTCCCTCCCTTTGTTAGTTTGCACAGCCATTATGTCCTGCCAATACCCCATAAACAATGAACTATTCTGTTTTGATCACATGAAAAAGAGGAAAAGACGCTACTTGGTTTTAGTGAGAAAATGAATGAAAGTAAGTAGGGAAGATAGCAGTGTTTAAGTGAAATGGAAAAAGTTGTCAATTTCAAATCTTTTCATTTGTGCCCACTTCTTAAAATAACAACTAGCATACATATTTATGATTGTTATTGCAATATTTTGTTAAAGTTGTTAAGCTCAAATATTTCTACAGATATTTTATTGCCATAGAACTTGCCATGAGCTTAATCAATCCTTGAGTTAAGAATTAAGATTCATCAGAAAATGAAAATAGCGAAATCATGAAATTTTCACAGGTGAAAACTAATATCATTAATTGCAGCTGTAGTAATGTCACCAGGAAAAAACATTTGTGATGTAATGAAGCATTTCTGCATCCAATTGTTTTAGGATAAAAAGGTTTTTGAAATATAAGTATGCCTCAGGTTATGTTCTGAGGTAGAAAAAATTATGTATAAAATCTTTTGTTACATAAGGAATAATAATAATTATTATTATTATTATTAATAAAATATAATAAGGAATAATAAAACATTGTTCAAGTATTTTAATGAGAAAATGAAATAAAGTAAATACTGAAAATCTGATTTCAAGTTTAGCAGGTACATTTGTCGGAAAAATAAGTCTTGAATTTATCTATTAACTATAGTTACTTTATTTTTTTAATATTGAGCACTTTGATTACAAAAATCTGCTTATTTACATTATTTGTACAGTTATCTACATCTCCATTGCAATATTCACAATATTTCGGCCATTGTACATTTCATCCACTGGGGTTTGGGTTTGAAATTCCAGTAACCTGAAGAAGGCCAGAGCGTACAACTGCCAAAGCATTGTGAATATGGCAGTGAAGATGAGGATAACGGTCTGAATAGTGTAAATAATCATAATACCTCATCTCAGAGATTTAGGCATAAAAATCTGTTTGCCTTTAAATGTGTTAAAATCCAATAATTTATTGGATTACATGTTTTGTTAGGCATCAGTGATCTGTATTATAAAAAAAAAACATACAAATTCTTATAATAAAATTAACAATCTGTTAATCACTTTAAATTAATCTTTTATTGATGCTCATGATGGGATGTGTGGGTGGTGTAATGGATAATGGTTCAGAAAGAGAATTTGGAGAGCCAAGTTCAAATTCCACTTAGGGTCATTACAATCACTTACACAGAAATACTCTTTGGAAAAGTATGAATCTGTCTCTACTGCCCTCACCTATGGGTTGAATATCAGGACAGACTGGATCTTATAGCCTTGGTTGCCAACCAATTTATTACAAAAAGAAATGGCAACCTACTGTGATAAAATCTTCTGCCTAGTCAGTCATGAATCAAGCGATATGATTGGCCGAGCATGTATCATCTATGGCACTGACTGATGTATTCTCATCTATTTTGCTTTGTTCAATCCTTTCTTTTGTCATAATGAATGTCACAATAGCAAATCTGCTTTCATTTAATCTGAAACAACTTTTCTTCTTTCATAATTTAGATTTCACATTCAAAAAATTTCAATTGTCTTTTCATTGAATCATTTTTACTTTCATGCACTGAATGGGAACAATAGTTTTATCAATTTCTTTTTCCTTTATCTTATATATAAAGTACAGTATATGTGTGTTTGTGTGTGTCCAAGCAACTCCTCCACTCACACTTTCAATGATTCATAGCTCATTCAAAAGCCCTAGAAAAGTTAGGTGCAGAGAACAATTTTCATTGAGCTCAGATTCAGGGTTGCCAGATTATGCAAGGTCAGTTTTTAATGTGGGGACCCAAGTGTCTTCACTTGGACCGCTGGTCTTAGTTGCTCATAGCTGGTCAGAGCCGGTCCAAGCTGTGATACTACCAGCGCAAGGATGGATCCCTGTGACTGGTAAGTATCAATGTGTATACCACTCAAGAGAGGAATTTACATGGTATTTACTTCCCTCAACTCAATACCTGTATTATCTATTATCTGCTTCTAGCTAATATCCCTCTTCAGGTTTAACTAAGTTGTATATTCATTTTAAAAAATTTATTTCATTAATTAACTGTCCTTCATTACTGTTCTTTTATTCAAGGATTGTTTTGATTTTCATATCAAAAACAATTCTGTTTAGGAATTTTGTCTTGTATAGTGTAGAAAAGTGTTTGAAATTTGCATTTTACTTGGCCTTCAACAAGTTGGCATCTATTTGTAAAACTTTCCTTAACCATAACAAGCCAGTTTATGAATGAAATGTTCATTTAAAATTTTTGTTTGAAAGATTTCAAGTAGTGTATATATCTTACTTTGCAAAGCGATAGCAAGCAAGTGAAGCCTGCTAGTCTTTTATAATTGAATTTACTTTAAAATATTCATTTGTATGTGTGTGTGTATGTATATATATATATAATCTGTAAATGGAAAGAATAATCTAAATAGTTCTTTTTTTTATATTGTCTGGATAAATTTAAACGATTTGTAATTTCAATCTAATGAGACAGGTATTAAAAACTTTCCTGTTGAAATAAATTATAATTTATAACCGAGTTTTCGATGATGCTTTAAGTTTTTCCTTTGAGATATATATATATATATATATATATATATATATATTTTGCAGTTTTGTCCATATTTTTTAATGATTTAATATTTTGTTTCCAAAGTTGTTTCTTTTCTCTTTTATTCCTCAAGGAATTTTTACTTTTTTTATTTAATTTTTGACATTGTATGGATGTCATGAAATGAATAATTAACAATAAATAAAAAGGTTTGCAAGTGTACTCAACAGGAGCGAATCACAGCTTCATGAGCAGAATGTTCAATGCGGCTCATTACAACAAACTCTGGCTGGACATGGGAACTTAAATGCTACAGGAGTTATCATAAAAACTTTCTAGTTGACTATCACAAATTTGCTATGGATGGCTTAAAATTTTATTTTAATCTTTGGAAAGTTGGGAGTTTGTAAAATGGTGTATGATTTTATCTTTTCATGGTAATTGTTCCAATAAGCTTTCCGCTTTCGTACTTCAACTTTACAAATTTAAAAAGAATTCCCAGATTGGCAGCTAGGTTTCATCATTTTTAGATTTTTTTTTAAATTGCAATATGCAACTGTAAGTTCTATGCTAACAGTTTCTTCTCTTGCACTTCTCACTTATGAAAATCTTTTTCAGTCTCTTGCTTTCCTGTCAACTTTGATCTTCAAAAATTTAAATGCAATGTCAATCATTATCTTCTGTCTCCTTAATTCTTGTTCTTTTATTGTTATCTCTCTTTAATGTTTTTTTTTCTCATATTCTTTCACACTCAGTAAGTAACTCTTTGCCTTGCAAGATGTGAAATGATTAAAAATAAAATGATCGTTTCTGTGTTGAAATGATTAAATAGTCATCCACAGATAGACTGTTTTGCTGTATCACAGCTCATCAGTGTGGCTAGACATCTGATTGCTTCAAGCTGAGATCGAAACCTGACTGATTTGGATCAGAGATTCTACCCCCAAGCTATCGTCACACAGCAGAGCAGAAGGGAAATTTTAACGTCTTCACTATGCGAAAGACGTCAGTATTGAGCACTTTTTAATACTGTTTCCTGCTCTGATTCAACTCTGACAACCTTTTATGCATTTTGCATATATACATATATATATTCTCAATATCCTTCAGTAGAACAATATTTCCATTGTCTCTATTTTTATCCATGCCATATAAGATGAACTGTAATTCAAATTTCTGGTAAAGAAAAGATAATTCTGTAATTTTTCCCTTAGCAAGAATTCTGAATTCTTGTCTGTTCAAGTCTGAATTGTACTTTTGCATTTGCACTTAAAAATTAAATCAATGTAAATGGCTGAAATTTTGTTAAAAAAATACCAAGACTTGTATTTAAGCTTTTATATTTTTTATTTCAGTTTTTTATTTTTTTCCTATTATTATTATTATTATTATTATTTTTTTTTTCAGGTATTCCTGATGCAGAAAACATAATTAAAAGTCGTGAGAGGGACTTTCCACGTTCCTCTTTATTTTTGTTCTTCAGAGGAAGGGGTTCACACTAAAAGGTGAGATACTGATTGTTCTGTTATATATATATATATATATATATATATATATATATATATATATAATAATAATAATAATAAAGAGAAAGAACAGTAAGATATATAATCTGGTGTTCTTATATATATTTTCATTTTTACACAACAGTGCTCGATGCAAATCTACAGAGCATAAATATTGTAAATTTACTTATTTAAAAATATGGTTCCATTGCTACACAGGAATTACCATGTTTCAAAAACAGAAGCTAAAAACTTCAAATTCAATTATAGAATTAAATTTAAGTCCCTAGTTCTGTTTCATTTTCAAGCGAATTTTGGAATAACTTATTTTGAAATTTACTGAATTTTATAAGCACATACGTTCATGCCTTTTCAAACAAATGATAACATCCGTTCAATGCATGTCATCTGGTCTTTTTCAACAACAAAATGTTTTTCGGCACTTTTGTTTTGCCATGTACTTTTTTTTTTGTACTTTTAGAGAATTTTTCTAAAAGGGTTGTTTGTATATGAATGTCATATTGAACTACAATTTTAAAATATTATTCTTAATTTTAATTACTAATAGACTATACATCTTTTTAAAACAAATAAATGTAATAGAATCACTTAAATTATTTAAAAATTATTATCAAATATAAATATGTATATTTCATTTATCAGTTTTTTTTTTTAATTAAATATTGCTTAACGAAAATTTGTGACAATGTCAGCAAAGAATAGCTATTTCATTTCTTTGATTAAGTAAATTTTTATTTTTTTATAAATCTAGTAATATATAGTTTCTCATGTATGCACAAAGGACATGGGTCATTTAATGACCTACATATTCTAGCTTTTCTTACTAATTTCCATTTCACAGTAGGTGTTTTATTAGTTTCTTTTAAGTGCCAGAAATATTTTGATAGAGACATCTGTATTTATTTATCTTAAAAGAGCATTGAAACTTTTTTTGTACTTGTGTCTTGTGCATCCAATATAGACTTTTATATTGTCTGGATCCTCAATAGATATTGCATTGGTATACTAATGATTCAGTGCAACATTTATTATTAAGAGCAGTTATGAGGATTTCTGCAGTTACATAATTTTTGTTTATCTTCATCTCTTTTTATTATTATACTGTCTAAATTTTTTTGGTCTAAGTGTTTATTCAAGATATTAGCATTATGTTTCTTAATAAGTTTTTCTAACTTTTCAGTACAGCTGTAACTTAATTTTAGGGTATTTTTATTGAAAATACTACTGATTTTACTATCTTTAGGAAAATGATTAATGCAAGGAATTTTTGTCCTAATTTGTCTTTTACCATTTGGTTGTATGGTGGTGTATACCAAATTATTTTTCTACTTCTGTTTTATTTATGCTTTCCATTTTCATTTTTTATGTAAGCTTTGGGTTTTTTGTAGCCACTATCTTTTAGATCCCTATCATAGAAATTAATATGTTCATAGAAAATCTTCTCATTTGCTGAATTTGTACTTATTTTCTTTTCGATAGATAAAGGTATATATAATTAATTAATTAAAGAATATCAAACGCTTAAAATCCCATAGGTAATAATTTTTATTTCACGAGAGCTCTAAAAGAAAAAAAAAAAAAAAATAGTTCTCAATCTTCAAGACCTACAAAACAGATCACAAACTTTTTTTTTTTTTTGTTATTTGTTTGTAGGTCTTGAAGATTGATAGCTATTTTTTTTTATTTTTATTTTTTTTTAAAGAGCTCTCATGAAATAAAAATTATTATCTATGGGAGTTTAAGTATTTGATATTCTTTGATTAATAATTTATTCTGTCTTTTGACATAGATCTTTTCCTGGATCTATATCAACATTGGATATTGTGTATATTCACACATATATATATATATATATATATATATATTAATGAATGTTTCATTAAATAATATAGACAAGTTTTGTCTATTTATTTTAAGTTCCTTTCATATTGTCTGATAAGCTTAATAACATTATCATTGAAAGACGAAAGGAAATCACCATGTTTAAATCCAATCTAAGCTTTCGGCTTACATAAGCCATTATCAAAGATGACAATTACTTTTCAATATATCAATCAATAGACGGACGAAACAATATTGATAGTCTGTTTTTGTTGCATGAAAAATTTCAAAGCAACAACTAATTCATGTATACGAGACACGGAATACCAATGTCTTCCCATACTTAATACTTCTTGTTTTCACTCTCGCATGGTCATGTGTGACGTCACAAACTGCGACGCGATTTTCACTTCCACATCTCGTATACACTTAAGCTTCCCAAAGGCATTAGTTGCCTTCGATATTCAGTTAATTATCTTGTCATCCAAAGAGGCATCTGAATTGACTTTGCTTCCTAAGTACGAGAAGAATTTCACATACTTCAGGTTGTAGTTGCCAACAGTAATGGGAACAATTGGAATGCTATGGGCAGGTGGTTTTTGTTTTACACCCTTGACCTGCTTAGGTGTAATCGCCTTTGTTGATGGACAACTTCAGTTTTCTTTGTGCTTATAGTTAGTCTGAATGTGTTGCAAGCAGTGAAAAAATGATTGAATGCTTGAGCTTCTTCAATTGAGGTGGCCATGATTGCAGCGTCATCAGCAAACAAAAGATCACAAATAATGTTTGCTCAAGTCAACGATTTTGCTTTAAATCATTGATGGTTAAAGAGGCCACCACTTGTGCAGAATTCAAATTTCACACCCATATTAAGATCACTAAAAACATGGTGTAGCATGACCAAAAAGCAGGCAGCAAAAAGTACGGGAACCATGACACAAACTTTTGTGCCATTTGTTACATCGAAGGCTTCTGAAAACTCTCCATCAGATAGAACAGATACTTTCATTCCTTCATGAAATGAGATGAAGACATTTAGCATACTGTCAGGTATGCCAAGCTTTGTGAGTACAGACAGCACCCCTGTTTACAAATGCTTTGGTCAGATTGATAAAGACAGTATAGACTTCATTTTTCTTTTTTCTTAACCAGTGTCTTCCCACCATATTTAAAAATTTCAGGGGGAATAGCATCTTTTCCAGGGGCTTTGTTCTAGGACAATTGCTTGATAGAATCCTGGATTTCCTTTAGGCATGGTTCAATAGACAACTGGGAAATTTCTGGTCACTGATGAATTGAGGCATTGTCATCGATGACAAAGGTTCTTGTTCTTTCCATCGTGATATACTTTCCTTCTTGTCTGTGTGGAGTGTGTTACCGTCAGATGACAGGACAGGTGAAATTCCATTTTCTTGTGGGCCGTACACCATTCTAAGGCCTTCATAGAATGCTTTGGAATTTTTTGTCAGCTGCTGCCTGGAATTCCACAGCTTTAGCAGACCACTAGGACTCTTTTGTTTTTCTGAGAGCACTTTGCACTCCCTGCTTGCACTGTTTATATATGCACTTTTTTTATAGACAATTTCTGTTATTTATGAATATTTTGTGCAAATCATGCATCTACTTGACGAGATGTTGAACGTGAGCAACATTTAGATCCAACCAGTCCTGATGCTTCCATATGGGAAGTCTTAGAACTTCAAGAGAGCTGGAGTAAATGGCATCTCTGAGAGATTTCCAGGAGGATTCATTGTCTTCTGGGATCAAGACTGAACCAAGCCTCGAATCCAGTATGTCAGAGAGTTCTTTCATCTTAACATCAGAATTCAGGGGTAAGATGTTGATTTGTTTAGGAGTTGTAGTGCTAACGAGTCGAAAGGATGGTTTGTTGTGTAGGAGTGCATGGTCTGAAAGATAGCAAGTGTTGTGGAAAGAGCAGGTGATATTGAAGTCTTTCATGTCACGTTTCTTGGTGATAATATAAACAATCCATATGCCAATCTTTGGATCTGGGATGCATCCAAGTTGTTTTGTGATGATTGGACTGCTGATAGCATGTGATGGTGAGATCAAATTCTTGGCAGAGAGAAAGAAGTCGTGCCCCATTAGAATTCATCGTACCATCCCTATGAGTGCCAAGGACACCAAGCCATGTCTGATGGTCAGTACCAACCTGTGTATTAAAGTCTCCCGTAAGGACAAGTTTGTTTCTATGTGGAATTTTGGAAATGACTGAACATAGTTGATCATAAGTCATCAATTTCCGACACAGGGGTGTTCATGGTTGGGGCATAACATCTCACAAGTGTGGCTGAGGAGTTGTTGAGTTCTAAGGCTAGAGTCATAATGCGATCATTTATTCCTTTCAGAAGAGATGATAGAGATTTAGCAATGTCTGATTTTATGGCAAAACCTACACCTGATAGGCAGGGATCTTCTTTGCTTTTGTTAATCCAGAAAAAGGTATATCTTGCACTAACTTCCTCAAGTTGAGAGGTACCTGCAAAACTAGTTTCACTGAGAACAGCAATATTGATATTGTGCTTGCTTGATGCATCAGCAATGAGTGCTGTTTTACACTCTGGAGAAGAATCATTGTTTTGGAGGGTTCTTACATTCCCAAACCTGAGGTTAACACGTTTACCAGTTTTATTTCTACTAAATCAATTATTGTGACTGCTATATTGGATAACTAGACAACTGCAGCAGGCTGCCAAGTTCATTAAGAGCAAGCAGTTTTTAAGTCACCTTTTCTAGCCCCCTCCCCGGATTGCAGAAAGCAGTGCTAAATGTCTAAATATATATATATATATATATATATATATATATATATATATATATATATATATATATATATATTTATTTATTTATTTACTAATTTCTTGCTTAATTTTGCAATGAGACCTTATTAATACAAGAGAAATGGTTACAATTGGATCTTATCATCCTTGGAAACTGCAGCTTCACTTAGCAATGATTGGTACAGTCAGCAAAACTTTTGAGACATGTTGAAGACATTAAACTAAAACTACTTTGCAAAAATGTATTTCAAAAGGATAATAAAAAGAAAGACCTAGTTATGTATTAGTATTTTTAATATCTAAAAAATATTTAAATGTTCTCAATG